AATCGGAGAAATCTGTGCCCCGTGCCCCACCAACGTCTGCGGAGGAAGCTGGGGAGGGCCGGAAAACCAGCGCTCCGGGAAAGCGCGGAAACCCTGGGGGCTGCTGGCAACCCCCTTGGACCTGCGCTGCTGCGGTGACGTCCTTGCAAAATCCTTCCTGCTCCCAGAAAAGTCGCCTTTCCAGTCGCTCTTTTCCCAGTTCACACCAGCCAGGCCAAACGCTCTTGCTCTTCGCGGGGGTGAATTGCATCCACGTTGCCTGCTGCACCGGTGAGGGCCTTTGGGCAGACCTGAGCACGAGGAAGTCAAGAAACCAGCAGAAAATGAGACATGGAGGGCTGGGAAGAGGGATCCGGGGATAGAGACAAGGCAGGCAGGAGGCTGGCAGCGATCCTGCATTAGGAGCAGCTGCCAGGACACGCAGGAAAGTGGGGGTCCACTGGCTTTATGCTCAGGTTTTGTTAATTTTAATTAATCTTCCCCTAAGTCGCTGCTACGCTCCTCTCTTTCCCATCACTAACCTCAGTTCCCCCGCACTTTTGGGTCTCCCTGGGAGCTTTCCGCCCTGGGAAGCGCAGGGGAGAAGTCAGTGGTGCCGGGAAGCCGAGCGGGACCCGCTGGCTCTTCCCTCCCCGGCACCGCCTGCTTCCCTGTGCGCCGGCAGCCAGGGCTGCATTTAGCACCGAGGGACGCGGGGGATTTTGGCTGACTCAGACACCCGGGGCTGTGATTTCTCGGTGGGGAAGAAGGTCACGGCACGAGGGGACTTCATGGGGACAGGCCAGCTCATCTGAGAACTTCCCAGGGCCGCGCTGGGGATGTTGCAAGGAGGGATGTCCGTGCTGAGGACGTGGCGCTTCCAGCTGCAGCTGCTGTTTGCAGCAGGATCCTCTGCAGAACCGGTGGCAGTGACAGGTCCCTCTGTCCCCTTCCATCCCCGGCCTCCCAGTGGGAGGCTGAGGCCAGGTAAGTGCTGGGGATCTGGGGGGGGTTTGTGTACCCGGCCCTGCTGCAGCTTTGCTTAGAGCAGCAGTGGGAAACCTTCTCGCTGACTTAGCTGGCTCAGCCGAGTTATTTTGCTCCCCTGAAACCAGAGAGGAAGTTCGGTGCTTTGGGATGGGAGCCTGGCCCTGAGCTCCGGTGTTCGGAAATCCCTTCGGATGCTGCCGGAGCTGCTGGGACGCAGGGGACAGGGAGCAGCACTCGCTCGTCTTCCAGCCGCCCCTTCCGTCTGGGGCCGGGAGGCTGGAGAGCAGCTGGATCCCGCAGCGCTATCCAGCTTCGGCGGGGATTTGTCAACTGCTTCGAGCAGGAAATTACTTCGTGTCTTGGAAAAAACTCCAAGCACCTGTACGGATGGAAAGCACATGGGGATTCGGCGGCGCGGCGCTCGCTTTCGGCATCCGCGACAGTCGCCGTGTGGGATATCGGGAAGCAAAAGCGGCTCCTGCGCCGCTCCCATCCCTGCCACAGCCCACAGGGCTCCGGGCCCTCCGATGCCAAGTGGGAAGCAACAGCAAGTGGCTCCGGGGCTGCTCTCAGGGCAGTTTGGTTGTGCTGGGAGCTGCTGGCCGCCGCGGCAGGGATGCATTGCTCCGGCTCCGTAGGCTCTTCCTCCCCCTCCGCCAGCTGTGCAATAGATCATGAGCATATGCAAAAAAACACGCTGCATCAAAGCCGCTTGGCAGCTTAACTCGCCCGATTCATAAATTAATTTCCCTCGTCTTGTAAGGGAGAAATCAGTCACTCCTCGAGGCCATCTGTCTCTATCGCTCATCTGGCCACATCCTTCCATAAATCTCCCCCTCGGAGCCTGAGCTGGTGATTGCCGGGTCAAGATGCAAAATCGCTTAGCGCCCGCGTCGAGCTCCACACGCACGGGGGCCCGGGGGCAGACGGTGCCCAGGCGCCGGGGGGACCTGGGGGGTGTTTGCCCAGGTTGCTTCCCTCCGTGTTTCCCTGCAGCCGGTGGCGAGGCCGGGGCAAAGCTGCTGCTCAGCTTGGCTGCTAACGGGGAGCGAATGTGGCCCCACGGCCCTGTGCAAAATGATGGATTTTGGGGGGACAGCGGGTCCTAGTTGTGCATGGCCTGGGGACGTGAGGGGGCAGTAACACTTGTCGCTTTTGGTGAGAGCTTCTGAGGGAGCAATGGCTTTGCAAAATGGGGCTGGCTTTGCAAAACGGGGCTTGCTTTGCAAAACAGGGCTTTGCAAAATAGGGCTTGGCAAAACGGCCCTTTGCCCGTTCTGCTCCAAGCTGGACGGCGACTGGTGTGAGCGGTCGCCGCTGCTCGGCCTCCCTCCTGGGCTGGCGTTTCCAAGCAGACACGCAGCACCTGGCCCTGCTGTTCGAGCCCTCAGCCCGCTCCCCCTTCCCAAAAAAACTCAGCACCTTTCCAGGCTGCCAGCTGTTTATTTTGCTGGACTCTGAACTTGCTGAAATGTCTTGCGGTGGCTGAAACAGCGCAGAGTAGAAGCACAGAGCCTGGCAGGCTGCATGGTGAGTGGAAAATCGTTTTTTTGGGGCTTTCTGGAGTTTGAAGCTCTGATGATGGATGTGCATGCAAGGCATGGTAATAGCTCTGTAAGTACCAAAGCACAGAGCAAAAGAATAACGCTGCCTAATAGCCTGAGAAATGGATGTCGGACGGGATCCGCTCCGCTCCGACAGCAGCGAGGGCTGCGGTGGGGAATGATGAAGTGCCACGGGGCTCGGGAGCAGAGTTTTATATTTGTTTAATGTATTGGAGAAAAAAAAAAGGTGGTAGAGCCAGCCTCTAAAAAGAACAGATACCTGCTGTGCACGTGCTGCAAAAAACAGCACCTTGTCCCCATATGGGGTGTGAGGAGGAGCCTGGGATCTGGGGAGGGGTTCCCTGGATCCCATGAAAATTGTGGAGAACTTGGGAAGCTGCCGGAGGCTGATCCCGGTGGCGATGCTCCCTGCTCCGTGCCCATGGAGCAGCAGATCCCAGGAATGGGCAAAGCCGGGCTCGGTGCAGCGGCCGCGGCTCCGGCTGGCACGTTCGCACCAAAGGGCAGCACTGCCGCAGGGAACGCGCCGCTGACGCCCCGCCTCCCGCAACGCCGCACGGACACAGGTGGGTGTTGGAGGATAATTCAGTGGCTCCTTTTCCAGAGCAGGTGGCTGAACCGTGCGAGCGGCTCCGCCACAACCCGGGGCTGCACTGGGACAGCCCTTCCCTGCCCGGCGCCTCTGCCCGGCCTCTCCTAAGGGAAGCTGCTTTTCCTTTTCATGGAGAGGAATGGCTATTTTTCTTCCTTGGGACATGAGTCTCCCCCGCAAATTCCTAAGCGCTCTTTTCCCTTCTCCTTCCTTAGTATATATATATACATGCATATATAAAGCAAAACATATCATTTCCTTCATTGAATATGAGCCGACTCCATCTCTCAGGCTGCCGACTTCACCAGCATCCCCGGGGCGAGGGCTTTGCTTGCAAGTGGCAGCTGCATCCGTGTAGGTTGGATGGGCAAAACTCCGAGTGGTCCAGGATGGGTCATCCCATTCCTGGCTCCTTCTGCCACCCCGGGACCTGCAGTCCACATGGGCCTTCGTCATTCGTGATATTTGGGGCCTGGGATCTCCGTATAAGGGGGAAGATGGGAGAGAGCTTCATCTTCTGAGCAGGAGGATAAAGGAGCTTTTTATAAGCCCTTTCTTATCTTGGAACCTTTTAGCCCATTTATCCTTCGGACGGAAAATCTCGTGGCTGAAATTTGCAGTGGAAGCAGAGACCTGAAAGAACATTTCTGCTCCAGCGGCGATCTGCTAACAGGATAATCTTGTTACAGGCACCTTGAGCGGCTCTGGAGCATCACTGGGCAGGTGGTAATATATTTTATTGGCAAAACCTCACTGCCTTATCCTGGAGTGCCCTCCAATGCCCTGTCTTAGGTTGCGTTATGGTCTCTGGAGGTGGCATTAAATACTGGCACTTGCTCTTGAACAAAAGTTTCCTCGGGCTCCAGAGCATTGAGCTGCAGCTGATGCTTCAGGAGAGGGTGTTGCTGCAAAGGCGACAGGATTTTACTGCACGGCCTTTTGCACGGGTTATATGTGTTAAAAAAGCGATTACCTCTGTGGCTGGAGGGGATGAACGGGAGGTTCAACCCGCCGCTTGCGCCCTGTCCCCGGCCCTCGGGGCCGGGTCTGGAGGAGCCAACGCGAAGGACGAAGCGGAGGAGAGGGAGCGCGCCGGGCGGGAATCGCTTTGTTTGGGTTTCTCAAACGTGCGCACGAAAACACTGTGTGGTTTTCTGACAAATTTGAACCAGCGCTACTCAATTCCCTCCAACATTGCTACTGTTGATCTAGCAGACTGTAAAGCATTTATTGGAGTTGCTCGAGGCAAACTTAAGCATCTGTGGAATAACAAGTCCAGGAAGTAATTGCATCCACAAGGAAAATATTTTTATGTATAATTCAGCGACCCATTTTATAAACATTGCGGTTCCACCTTGGAGTTTTTTTTCTTTTTTTTTTTCCCCTTCTCCCTCTGCAGTCGCCTCTATCCAAGCGTTGGAGGTCGGCAAGACGCGGGATTGTGCTGGGTGCAGAGCGGGCGCTACTCGAGGACGGGACATCCATAGGGATGGGGACCGCGCTCCGGGCCGTGCCGATCCTCCGCGTCGGATGCCTCCTGGCCCACGGGATGCTCCGAGATGGGTTTTCCCGGCGGATGATGGGAAGGGAGGGAAGTGCTGTTGTTGGGGTGCTGCTTTCGAAGGTTGTAGCTGGTCAGTGGGAGCCTGCTGGGCACCTCCAGTTCACGTCTGCCTTTGCACTGTCCTTCTTGGGCAGGGAGAAGTGGGCTTAAAAATGGAAAAATCAAGCAACTGACACTCTCGAGCATCTGATTCCTTAAAGAAATGCTGTAGGCAACTGAAACCCATGAAGAAGTTTCCAATTTTTTTATTTTTTTTTACTATTATTGCATGAAAACATAATTTGGGTTTCATTCCTATGCAATGGCGAGTCATGGTGCCGCTGCCACCTCCCTCTCCTAAACATGAAGGTCTCCTCGGTCTCAAAGCTGATCGGACAGCAGAGCCTGCAGGGAAGCAGGGTCAGCCCTGGCGCATCCTCCTCTTCGCGCTGGGAAAACCCACCGGGAACGAAACCAGGGCTTTTCTTAAAAGCGCGGAGCTGCTCCAGGGAGATTTGCCCAAAGATCCAGCCACAAAGCACCTTATTGAAACCCCGCTTTGTGCCGGGGTTGTCCCTGCGGGCACCCAGGGCCTTTGCAGGGTTGTGTCTCCGGTCTGGGGTTTTTGCCATCGAACATCCAACCTTGACTCCACCGCTATCCACAGGGTGCAGCCCGGGCCAAAGCTGTGCCGCCTGGTACCACAACTGCTGCTTTTCTTGCTAAAAAAGGACATTAAATTCTTTTGGACGCCTGGACACTTCCTTGATGAAAAGTGGAATAAGGGGCTATTTATCTTCTCTCTCCTCTTTCATTCTATCCCTCCATCCCTCCCTGCGCTGCGGTGATGCTGGTGTTTTCTCTGGCGGATCCTGGTGCCCTCCTGGCTTTGCATTCGGAGCCGCTGGCATCCCGGGAGCTGCCGGGGGATCCGCTGCACGGAGGGAGCGACGGAGGGAGCTTTTCCCAGCTTGTCTTGGTCTCCAGGTATTTTTGCATCTCCTCCTCGCAGCCTCCCTGGAGCAGGGGCTGGATGGGGGCTCCCAAGGTGGGATGTTCCTGGGGGATGCGGCATCGGTGCAGCCCTTTGCCAGGCGGATGCGGGTGCCATGTCTCCATGCTCCTGCCTGCTGCAGCACCGGGATTTGCAAGGGGGAGACCAGGATGGGCCTTTGGTCCTTCTTAAAGACCAGCTTGATTTTTCAGGGGAAACAGAGGGATTTTCAGACACAGGGAAGGGAGAGCCACCATGGGAAGAGGTTTTCCTGGCTCCCCCCCCCCCGCAGCCGCTCCGCAG